CCCTTATTTTGTAGTCACATGACCAGTTTAGTGGGAAAGATTTGATCTTTGTAAAAAATTGTCCTAAAATGTGTGAAAATTACAGATTCCAGGCAATACATCATATTTTAAATTGTGTAGATAAATAAATTACAGAACTTTATTTTTAATGTTCGTCATATTTGAAGCGGAGAGGAGCACCGAGCGGACTGATGGCATTAATCGTATTAATCATGAAGTGCCAAACAMTAATCGATTAATGTTTTTCTGACCATTAATTGCACACGATACGATTATGCCCAACCCTACCATCCACTTATTGATTATAATGGRATTAGTAAATCAAATGTAGCAATTGAACTGATCCTGGTGTATTTATGTTGCTGTGTAATTTATGTTAATTGTTATGCATTTCCCACAAATAACTTCTAGTAATTTAAAATAAATTAAATTCACCACCATTCTGTTTGACCCCCATTTTTGTGCCGACTACTTCATTAGTAGAGCATAAAGCATATTTTTGATTATTTTGTTTGCTTATAAAAATATTAAGATATGGAATGTGATTCTAATGCAGCCACTTAACAAGATGTCTGTCTTTTTTTCTTGATTATTAAACTGTATTGACAAATGTGCTTTATATTTCTAAATGGGTTTCAAATAAGAAAAACAGCAAGACTGGAGAACACGATGATATTTTAACAAAAGCAAAATTATCTTATGAACATGAATCTGGTTTATTCTGTTTTTCTATCAACGTGTTTCTTGCCACTCCCTGGTGCAGGTTTGTTTTAAATGTCCTGGCGTCATAAACCCACACAGTATCTATGCCCTCTCCTTCAGTACATTCAGGGATCCATGTAGGAAAGGGGAAGCGGCAGGCAACCACCTTGGCTGTAACTGGTAGTTCACTTGACAACTTCAGCTCCAGCTGATCCATCTGCAGGCACAGAGGGCAACAATCACAACATTGAGGTTCTAGTCAAACTAGTCTAGCAGGTTCATCTATAGTCCACGGTCAATATTGCTCAAGAAAACTCACCATTTGGGGGACTCCAAAAATAACAACATTGGAGTATGGAGCAAAACTAGCCTGTCAAAGAAAACGGGGGGTGGGGGGGGGGGACCAAGACATTTGACAATGATCTGGTGTGTTAAACAAAAAGCTATGTTTCAGATTCGGCATATAAATGAAGAAGCACTCACCTTCCACAAGTCAGAGATGTGGAAGGAGGTGGAGCGGTGCACTCCAGCTCTCCAGGCCTTATAGCGAGAGTACCATACAAGCCAGGGGTTCAGCTCAAAACCTGATGCCTGGAACCCATGCTTGGCTGCTGCAATCACCTGCAAAATAATGAATCAGAATATTGAACGTACATGTCATTTTGTAACAGTGTAGATGCTATGTGAATGGAACTATTACAGACTATTACATGCTTTTTCTTACACTTCAAAACAGAGCACAATGATCCAAGCTTCAGACTTGCTTTAGCACCACATCACTTACTATCCGTCCATCCCCGCTTCCGATGTCCACCAGGGTCCCTGATCTTGCCCGAAGCGCCTGGAGGACATTCTGCACCTGAGCTGGGGTCGCTGGGACAAAGGGCAGGCAGACTTTTCTCAGGGCAGGGGCGACAAACGGAGCAGCCACCGCGTACAGAGCGACCAGCGACCCCCCTACTACCCCCGTGGCAATGAGACCAAGAAAACTTTTGTTTCGTTTGTCCGCGTTGACACCGCCGCCACACTGCCCCGAGTTCTCGAACAGCTCTTCCTGTGACATGATGATGCTAGCTGAACTTATGTTATGTCAACGTGAGGTAGCGTCAGCTATAATCCATGTTAAATGGCAACTGAGAGGATGCTAAAGCTGGCGAGCTAGTAGCTACTCAAACTAAATTATAARCAGACAGACTGAGTGCAATCATTTATTTCGTTACAAATTGTAAATAAACTACAAAATCAATTCTTAAAGAGTTTCTTCTTCTATGCTTCTTCGTTTTTCTTCTTCTTCTCTCACGGCGGTAGCAGTCTATGCTGTGCCTCACTGCCACCTAAAGGTCTGGATTGGTTACTACAACAATCACCAGACAATTTGCAGTACACARCTGCATATGACGAATCGCACAATTTTCTTATATAAACAAATAGTTTTCTTATTTACATTTAAGCCAATATCACTTAAATAAAAAAAATAAAAAAAACTTTTATATCATTATTTTCTAAGTCTGAACACTCATGACAGTTTGCTAAGCCATCGTTACACACCTAGCACCTGGTTTTCTAATCACAAAAATAATTCCTGTTAGTTACCTTGTTGTGTGTGTGTGTGTGTGTGTGTGTGTGTGTGTGTGTGTGTGTGTGTG